TTGAGGCAGCTCCATTCTCAGATCCCGGCTCCTAGCTCTGCCCTGGCTTGAAAGCACCTTGGGTTCCCTGTTTAGCATAGCTGTCCACACCCAAGTCTCGGGAGTGTCCTGACTCCTCCTAAAACCCAGGGTGTGGCCCAAAAACATACATACTGCATCATGCTTCCCACCCACTTGCCCTAGCCTTTAAATCTCGCCTGGGCCCTTTCGTTGAGACAATTCTGTAACTAACACCAATGCTTTGCCAACCATGCTCTGAAATTCCAGCACAGACCTTTCTGGTCTCCTGCCGTGCGGCATGCCAATAAGTGCCAGAACTCAAAACAACTTGGTTTCTTCAGGAAATCCAAATGATTCCTAAGAGCTATTTGTCACAATGAAGCTACACCATTAAGTTGCAATATTTTGACAGCTTCTTCATCTGACATCAGTATTAACAGGTATAAACCTACATCTCAGCTGGGCATGATGGCTCATGCTTGTAATCTTAGCACTCTGGAAGGCCAAGGCTGGTGGCTTGCTTGAGCTCAGGAGTTCAAGACCAGCCTTCAGCAAGAGCAAGACCCTGTCTCTACTAAAAACAGAAAAAATTAGCAGGTGCCATGGTGCGGGGGTGGGGTGGGGGTGGTGGCGGTCCCAGCTACTTGGGGGGCTGAGGCAAGAGGATCTCTTGAGCCCAAGAGTTTGAAGTTGCTGTGAGCTATGATGATGCGATGGCACTCTACCCAGGGTGACACAGTGAGACTCTGTCTCAAAAAACAAAAGAAAACACCTATATCCCAGGACAGAATCAAGTCTTACTTCAGCCTTCTAACTCTCAAGCATTGTTTCTTTTCTCTTGTTTACATGTCATACTTTTTATATGTATTCAAAAAACTATCCTAAACAAATCATTGATTTTAGACCATGTGCAAATATTTTGGTACAGATGATGTTCATAGCAGTGCTGATACAACAGAGGAAAAAGTCCTATAAATCAAAATGCTCAGAAACAGGTGACAGATTGCATAAATCCACTGTGTATGTCTCATCCATTCATGCAGCTGGAAGAACATACCAGAAGCGAGGTGGCTCGTAAACAAGAGAAATTTATTCCTCACAGTTCTAGAGTCTGGGAACTACAAGATCAAGGCAGACTCAGTGTCTGCTGAGGACCCCACTCTTGGCTCTTAGATGGAGCCTTCCTGTTCTCACACAGTGGAAGAGACAAGGTAGCTCCCTGAGGTCTCTTTCATAAAAATACTAATCTCATTCATGAGGGCCCTACCCTTATGACTTAATCACCTGCCAAAGGCCCCATTGGCTAATACTATCATATTGGTGATTTTAAGTTTCAACACATGAATTTCTGGGGGGAGAGGTGGACAAGAATACTGAGAATCTAGAACACTCCATATAATGCAATATGTTATGAAAGCACCTTGGGTTCCCTGTTTAGCATAGCTGTCCATGGGTGTGGCCTAAAAATGAATACATAGAAGAGCTATATTTACTGGTTTGGATTGACTTGGAAAATATTTAAAATAGATTATGTGAAAAGCAGGTTATACTGCAGTATAGTAAGATATTTTTGTAAAGAAAATCGGTGTGTGTGCACTAACATCTTGAGGACACAAGAGTGAGATGACAGATGATTTTCATAAGTTTTAAATATATGCATCACAAAAAGCACATCTATGTTGAACATATTAGTTGTGTAATAAAAGTTGGTTTAAAAAGTCCTTTGATTAAAGCAGTAGCATATGCCATAAGTCTATTTAGTAAGCATAAAAATATATATTGAGAAGAGAAATCCTATAAATCTAAGCATCAAAGTTCCAGATTTAACCAAAGGCAAGTGATAGTAACAGAGCATGAGTCAAGGCAGAAAATTATAACTAAATGCCAGTCAGCCTAGAGAGTGTCATCACAAGGCGGCCCTTGAGGAGACTTTTTTGGAGGTTTTTTTTTTTTTTGAGACAGAGTCTTACTGTGTTGCCCTGGTAGAATGTTGTGACATCAGCCTGACTCACAGCAACCTCAAACCCCGGGCTCAAGTGATCCTTCTGCCTCAGCCTCCCAAGTAGCTGGGACTACAGGCACCTGCCATGATGCCTGGCTAGTTTTTCTATTTTTAGTAGAGATGGAGGTCTCACCCTTACTCCATCTGGTCTCAAACTCCTGAGCTCAAGTAATCCACCTGCCTTGGCCTTAAAGGTATGAGCCAGGGCATCCAGGCTTGTAGGTGGCCTTTCAACAGCAAAACATTTATTTCCCCAAGAATAGGGAGAAGCAATTGCCAGGGAAGTTAATCCCAAGGGCTCAAGGCCCACATTTGGTTCCTTGCTCTCAGTGACCACCCTTCCAAGTGGCTTTCTTGCCTCCTAACAAGTTCCCTCTAAAGCACAGAGAAGGAAGGGAGAATTCCTCACTAGCCAGTTTTTTGTTTTTGTGTCTTTTGGGTTTTTGAGATAGAATTTTATTTTGTTACCCTCAGTAGAGTGCTGTAGGGTCATAACTCACAGCAACCTCCAACTCAAGAATCTCCTGTCTCACCCTCCCAAGTAGCTGGGACTATAGGCACCTGCCACAATGCCTGGCTATTTTTAGAAACGGGTCTTGCTCTGGCTCAGGCTGGTCTCAAAACCCATGAGCTCAGGCAATCCACTCGTACCCAGCCCCCTCACTAGCCAGTTTTATGGAAGCTGCTGAGTTCTCTTACTTCTTCCTAAACCTAAAGGAAGGTACTCCTACCTGGATTCTTACCATCCTTATACAGAGCTTCTCAAACTGTACTATGAACAAGAATCCCTGGATCTTGTCAAAATGTAGACGCTGATGCAGGAGGTCTGGTGTAGGGTTGAGATTCTGCATTTTTAACAAGCTCCTAGTAAAGCTGATGCTGCTAGTCCAGACACTACATATATATATATATTTTATCTCTCTGGTCTAAGTCAGAAGGAATGGAGACCACGCTTTGAGCAGTAAGCCCCTATTGACAATTTCCTAGATAGAACTGGGCTCAGCCTAGATCCTCAGCTTAAGCTCGGACAATGGGCCAAATCTCATCAAATGGGAGGGCTGAGAAGGCTTGGCTTTCAGAAAACCCTTACCTCTTGGCTCACTAGTGATTAATTAGCAAATGATCCCACCAGAACCCTAAAGGATCCCAATGATTTAATGTTCCTATAGAAATGGGTCATTTGCCATAGTGACCAGAGGAATTGGCCCTGATGCCTGAGCTGCCTTATGGGAATTCTTTGTATCACCATAATTGCCCTAGGGTACCTGAAAAAGGGAATCAGCACCAAAGATTCTATTCAGAAACAGAACTTTAACAACACTAATAAATCAACCCCCGAACAGTAATTGCAGATTGCCTTCCACGAAAGCTGACACTGGAAGAAAGGTGTGAGGGTAGAGGACAGACACCGGGAGGTCACACTAAGAATCCGAGAAGGATAAACAAGAGGTGGGGATAAGTAACTATAACAAGAAAGATGGAAGAAATAGAGGACTTAAAAATGTATATGAAAATTTGTAAAATAAAGAACATTTCTAGAAAATGAATATGTAGTTATAATAAACGAAATGGCAAGGGACGGACCCAAGTCCTACGGCTGTTGCCGGCAGCCTGTCCCAGAGGCCTCTGAACAATGGTAGCGGGCGCTGTGTTTGCACACGCCCCCACCTGATACTGTCTGGACCCTGAGGGGTGTTAATGAGGCTGGGTGGAGAGGCAGACTCCATTTGTCATCACTGACACTCAGACGGGCAGTCCTCAGCCCAGGACCCCGGCCAGTCAATCAGACACCAGCTCTGCTGTGTATAAACACCTTCCATCCTCAGTCAGCCAGGGAGGCAGGTGCTGGAGATCTGGTCACAGTCAGTTGGACAATCTGATAAAGCCTTCCTGGGGTCACAGTGGCCCAAGAATAGCCCTGGCATAATTAGACCAGGCGGAGGGGCTGTCAGGCAATCTAGGCGGAAATAACAGGGCCTCTGACAATCAAAGGGAAACTCAACTGAGGGGGCGGGGGGAGGGAGGGGGACATTTGTTGTACAAGTGGACAGTGGGGGAGGGGAGCTTTCCCTGAGGCTGGCTGGTGACTCTGGCAGGGCTGTGCAGCTCATTATGCACGCCCCAAAGCCAGGCGGGTGCTATCGATCACTATCGGGGGTCTCAGGGGATTCATCATTATGTAGCAGGGCCTGGTGCTGCATGCTTTGCTCTCTCGGTAACCAGAGGAACATGGCAACGACGCATCCTTGCCAGTGGAAAAACAGGGGGCCCTATTTTATCCTTCTTTTAATTATCTCACCAGCCTCTTAGCCAGGAAGGTATAGAAACAATAAAAAAGACCCAAATAGATATATAGCTTACAAAAGGCTTTCTATACATGTTATCTCATGGAGGCCAGGTGAGGGCTGATTTAAGGTAGGGCAGCTGGGAATGTGGGAGATGGCTGCCTTGCCCTCTTTGGTTCTGTCACACATGCACAAAACACCAGATTCACTCAGATTCACCCTCTACCCTTTCTAAGAGCTGGGTAGAGCTCTCTGACCCCTCCCCCAGCACAGGACTCCACAGCATCTGAATTGGCCGGCAGCCTCTCTCTGCCTTCTGGGACCATACACCCAGGACACTGGAGGCCACCACTTTTATGATCCTTTTACTCTGTTGTTTCTTCTTTTCTTAAGCTAAAAGCTGCCCCCCCTGAAGCTTATACCTATAACTGGGATGGTCTATGGGCAGCCTCTATCTTTGGCCCCTGGGTGCCCTGGAGTGGGAGTTGACCTCTGCCATAGCTCCAAAATAAATTTGACTCTATGACCCAACACAACAGAAGGCTTCTTGGGAGGGGAGCATGGTGGTGGGAGTACGAAGATTTATACTGCCCATTTATGGAAGAAAACACTGTAATAGTCTAGAGTCCCAGTTACTCAGCAGGCTGAGATGGGAGGATCACTTGAGGCCAAGAGTTTAAGGCCAGCCTGGGCAACATAGAACCTGTCTCAAAAATTTTTTAAATTAAAAATTAAAATAAAAAATTGAAAAAGACCACACTTTACATCCATAGGTTCCTTTCCTAATATTCTTCTTTCCAGTGCCCACCTCTGGGTCCTCCATTCCTGTTTTTGGTTCTTGCCATCCCTTGCCATTTTCATGGTGTTTCTGTCCCTCCTCTCATTCCCACCAAAAGACTTTTAACTATTATTCTCAGTATATCTCCTTGGAAGCTTAAAAACATATTCGAGGACATTATGTTGAGTCTGACAAGCCTATCTCAAAAGCTTATATATTGCATGATTCCATAGAAATGGAATCATTTCTATGACATTCACAGGACAGAACTATCAATGGAGAACAGATTGGTGGTTGCCAGAGACTGGGGGAGAGGAAGGGTGTGACTGCCAAGCACAGCAGGAGGGAGCTCTTTGGAGGGATAGAACTGTTCTGTATCCCAATCAAAGCGGTGGTTACACAGATATATATACGAATAAGATGCACAGGACTGTACACAGACACCCCTGCTGAGTCAGTTTTACCATATGAAAATGTAAAAAGTATATGCACCAATAGATCTCTTCAGATGGGGGTAGGGAAACTCTGCAACTCTGAATAATCAATTGGTCCTACTTACCAAAGAGAGCCAGTTCTTCAAAACTCTTCCAGTTTTTTTTTTTTTCATGCGAATGAGATTTTAATCTTCGTTTGCAGTGATGGCCAAAATCCAAATTGCAGGACAATCTTTGGAAAAACTGGAATGTACAATGTCTAGGTTTTTTAGATATCATTGATGTCTTCATCATCATCTCCAATGTCATCAAACTGAATTTCATCATCATCGCCAGGACCAAAGGTATCAGTTTCATTGATTTTAGCATGTTCTGGAAGCTCCCCATATGCCTTCAGACTTCTAGCTTCATCTGCATTGTATTTTAAAATCACATCAGCTTTGTTATCCTGGTAGTCTCTGAGACCAACCAATATGATGTCTGAAGTATTTATCCAAACCTTTTTCCTCAATTTCCCTCTGATGTGACATAACCTCTTCACTCCATCAAAACACATTGCCTCTAATCTTCCATTTCCTAACATTTTGATTACCTGGGCATACTCTTGTCCATCTTCTTTGAACACCAGCTCTCTTTTCTCAGATTCATTCTCATTCTTACCTCTGCGTCTGTTTTTACCTCCTTTACCTTTATTTTTGGGCATGGTGGAGACGGTGGCCTCGCAGTGTCTGTGACTTCTTTCTGGGGGGAGGCAGCAGTGGCGGTGACTGCTCTGAGGGACGACGACACGAAGAACAGCGCCGGATGAAGCCGAAGCTGGAGGTCAGGTAGCGCACGCGCGGGAGAGTCTGGCCACCAAGCTCTTCCGACATCGACCTGCGTCCATGCTCAACGGCGGCAAATGGCGTCGCGGCTGCTTGCGTCACTTTTCCACGCCTCCCCAACTCTTAGAATTTTTGAAGGCAGCTTTCTGCCCAACATACAGAGCCTCTCTGCCCAAGCCTGGGTATCTGTATACATTCTTGGCTTCAGGGACCCCGTTCCCTTGCAGGAACTGTGAATGGTACCCAATGTGAATGATGCCCATTGGCCCGTCTCCTGCAATCACAGGGACATCTAGGGCCTACCACGCAAGCCTCTGGCTACCTTCTGACCTGTTTCTCAGCCACTCCCATCATTTCTCTCATGCACTGGCCTTCTAACCCTTCCTCAAATATACCAGCTGTCCCCCTGGAATGTTTTTCCCTACATCTCCGCATGGCTGATTCCCTCTGCTCACTCACATCTCAGATCAAATGTCTCCTCCTTGGAGAAGCTTTCCTGAGTCCTCTATATATGGCAGATCAACTCCTTCCTATTTCCATATTTTTTTTTTCCCTCCTTTTTATGGAACATCTCACAGTCACTTCTCTGTCCCCACTCTGCCAGAATAGTGAAAGGCCACAAAGCGAACCTCACAAAGGCCCACCTTATTCACCACTGTAACCTTAATGCCTAGAATATGACAGAGGCACTCCAAATGGAATGAATAAACCACGAGGAAGACAGAATGTGAGCAAAATGGGGAAACAACGGGGCCAGGGTAGTGTGTGGAGTCTCAAATCCATGAAAACACTCTTGCTATTTTCATTTTTATTTTTCCAGATATTTCTGCCAGTATTGTATAATCCAAATGTTCAGAGACACAGCACTTGAAAGCATTTTGCAGTGAACACCTGTCCAGCCACCACCTAGACGAGAGCCTATCGCTTACATTTGGCCATACCTGTATTGTCACTTACTGTCCATCTGTCTTGTCCCTCTATCCATCCTTTCATCCATCTGATTTTTTCTTCATCAATTTCTATTCTATCATTTAAACATACCCTTTTACATACACAAAAGAAACAAATCAGGAATGAAGTCATTCCTCTGATTATCCTAAGTGCAATAATCAAAGATTTCCAACAATTGTGTCTCCTAGAAGCCACGTGCTCCTTCCAAGTTTTCTGAGCACTTTAATTCAGATCTGAAAAAATTGTGACAGAAGAGAGCCCCACCAGGTGTGTGATGTTTTCCCCACTGCTTCATTAGTCTCCCAGTCATGTTTTCAGCCCAGAGGGAGGGTAGGGGTGGGAGCAGTGGTTAGAGAGCTCATAGGCTACAGGGAGATGACAATGAAGGATGACCCTCAGCCATGTTTCCAAGGTCACTCCCCTACAGGAGTGCTGCTGCACAGATCACTCTTGGGTGCCTGGGGAAGGTGCAGGAGCTATAACAGAACATATACAGGTAAGCACTCTGCTTTGTTGGCCCGCCATAGAGCAAAGCCCTACTCTGGACACTCTTGCATCTGGTCCTAACATCAGCAGTGACCTTCACCATCTTTCTGCGTTTATTAATCACATACTCCCATCCTTACCTCTGCTTTCAAATGGAGACCAGCAACATGACCATTTCTACTGAGGAAACGTTTGCTAAATGGGAATCTGCTTTTCCAATTCTGGCATCGACTGACCAAAAAAACTGATTCTACCCTTGAAGAAAGTGGGTCAATGGCATGAATCTACGATCAGTCAAGTTCTGACAGGGGTGGCAAAAGCTAACCTAACATCATGCTCATACTTTAGGTCTGGGAGGTCCAGGAGGACATGCTTGTCAACTCTCAAACGTCTGAATCCTGTAACAACTTACCCAGCTTCCTTTAACATCAGAGTTTCTACTCTATCTTGGCCTGTTTTTACAATCTGATGAATGGTAATGGATCTTCTCTGCAGGAAAAAATAAAGCGCACATCAGCGTAACATCTTGTAATTTATTTCAGGGGTTCATCAAGGCATATCCACAAAAATCTCTAAGTCCCAAAGCCATGGTTAATGTTAGTATACCATTTACTGTGCACAGGGCACTGTGCTAACTGCTTGACCTACATTGTTTTATTCAATGTCATGACAACCCAACCATCATTATCCCCCTTCTCAGAGGCAGAAAATGAGGCTTAGAGAGGTCAAGCAATTTGCCTCCTAAAACTACCAACTTGTAAGCAATGGAGTTGGAATTTGCCCAGGACTGACTCTGGGAGGAAATGCGTGGCATTTTTGAGACCCTACAAGCCAACTCTGCTCAGGCCATAACTTGAAGCTACCCTGACCCCACGTCTTGCTTCCCATCCAAATGCTTTATTTTGGAGTTCAAAGTCAACTGATGAGATGCCCCTCCAGGCAGGTCAGCTAGAGTGGGTGCTGTGTATGAGCCCAGAGCATGACGCTCCAGGGCAGAACAAGGGAGGCCAAGGAGCAGCTAACTAATACCTGAGAGTTGGTAAACCATTCCCTTGGCAAGAATATCCCATACAGAATCCAGCTTCTGGGCCTAATCAGATGAGGTGTGTACTGGCTGTCCCACACAGCTCTAAGTGTAAATTTGAATGACTTTTAGGCAAGGCCTGTAACTTAACCCTAGTCCCCACTATTCCCAGCTATCTGGCACTATTCCCAATTGTTTTATCTCCAACAGCTTCACTGAAATAAATTAACATAGATAAATGGCATAGCCTATGGAGACATTGGAACGGGACTCCTAAATTGTAGCCAGTGAGTTGTATCAATACTACTCAAAAGAATTTTAGGTATGAATGAAATCATGAGATGAAATTGTCATGTGCTTAAAGGGGAAGAAATGAAACTAGAGCATGTGATGTGTCTTTCTAGTGTGGGATTGGATTTGGGCTAAAGTAGCTATCCTCCCTTGCTCCCTCCCATGGATAATTTGCAACCAAAGACAGCAGCTGGTGTTCAGGTTTACACCTTACATTATGTCTATAATTATAGATAATTCCCCCTGGCCTCAGCAGTCCATGCCAATCCAAGTTATCCCAGGAAAATACTGGTATTAAAAGCGGAGTTCTCTTCTGTGATAGGTGAGAGTAGTTGAAGACAGTAGATATCTCAAGAAGCTTCTTAACCACACACAGCAGATTTGAAAGTCATCTACACATCATCAAGGGCAGGGAGCCTCCAAGAAAAACTTCAGAGGAAAAAAAACACCATAGAACAAAAGAAATGCATGTGCCGGAGAGGACAAAATCATCTTGACTTGAACACAGACAAGGCAGTGTCTCCCGGAATTCCACAGCCAGGACTAATGGCTAAAATTACCAGCTTAAACTATTTCTCATGTTCATTCTCTGAAGTGCTATAAATGGAAACAGTCATACATTTCTTTTCCCCAATAAAGTGTTCACATTCTTCTTTCCAAGACACAAGAGACTAACTCATTTAAGACCAACAGAGGAAAAATAGCATTTTACAGCCACCGCACACACCCTGAAAACCTTCATCTGCTGAGTAGAAGCAAGTGGAAGCAAGTGGTTTCTGGGTTTCTCCATCTCCCTGCACATAGGAGGGATTGGGGTCTGTCACTATGGGTGAATATCAAGGAGCTGCAGATTTAAGTCAATGATCCCCAAGGAAACTGACTAAGTGTTCATTACGGCCTGATAACTTTGGGGAATTGAGAAGACAATAGAATCTTTTTCTAACTGGATCAGAATCAGCTTTGATGTCTTCATCCCAAGTGGACCAGCCTTTCACATAGGGATGGAGGGGGTCTGTAAGCAGGAGGAGGGGAGCCAACTCTTCTATCAGCAGAACACATGTGCTGTAAAACAGGCCACTCTATTCTCACAGGGTAGGGCAGACATAGTGAAGTGCTCTCAGGGGTGGGGCTCGGGACTGAAAACTATTCCTCCAACTGATGTTTACCTTTTAAATTATTATTTAACACAAATGGGTTGCTTTTGGTTGGGCAAAAAGAAACAACCCTGTCTTTAGCTAATAGGCGTTATTTTTTTTAAAAAGCCTTTTAGATGTAAAAAGAAGAAAAAAATTATGTATGTGGTGGATGTACGGGTGATCACTGTATAATTCTTTGAGCTATACTGTATTTTTTTTAAATTGCCTAATAAAATATTGGAAAATTAAAAAAAAAAGCCTTTTAGGATGGCTTACACAAATACAAAGGTACCATTTAAATGGGCACACTAGGAACCTGAACGCAAGTGATTTGTACATCTAAAACATAAGCCATATATACTAATTTGCTAAGTCACAACCCTAGCCCATATATTTTCTAGATCTACTGAACTGGGTAAGGCAGGAGCAAATCTAAATAGACCCTGAGCCAAGTAAACAATATATTTCATCCTGCTTGAGATGCTGGCCTAAGTCCACTGGACTCAAGGACACATTCCTTCTGTTCATCCTATAACCCCACCCCACCCCAGCAATGAGGAAAGGAAAAGCCACAGTGTTCTCTGAGAGGACTGGGAATGATTAAGCAAAGACTCACTTGGAAACTTCTAAAACAGCTACAGAAGCTACATGCCTTGTGACACAAAGATGCTCTTTCCTACTTTGCAAATTGGCGAAATGTTGTCCTTTATCTGAAAACAGCTGGTTTCCTTGGGGATTCTTTTATTTATGGTCTGAGAAGATGACAGCCTGGTCAGGGTTACTGGTCTCTCCTCCGGAAATCAGTCGATCATTTTGCTTTTGCCCACTGGTTTGTTGATTGAACAAATATTTACAGAATACTCCCCGTGTGCCAGGGTATTTGATAAAAAACAGAAAAATTTCCTTCCTTAAGAATCTAGGATTGGGGCTCAGCACTCATAGCATAGTAGTTATGGTCCCAGCCATATACACTGAGACCGGTGGGTTCGAACCCAGCCCGGGCCTGTCAAACAACGATAATTGCAACCAAAAATAGCCCGGCATTGTGGCGGGCGCCTGTAGTCCCAGCTACTTGGGAGGCTGAGGTAAGAGAATTGCTGAAGCTCAAGAGTTTGAGGTTGCTGTGAACTGTGACACAGTGGCACTCTACCCAAGGTGACATAGTAAGATTCTGTCTCCAAAAAAAGAATCTAGGGGCGGCCAGGATGATGGGTAATAAAAAGATACTTACAGCACACAGCAACTATTGATTGAAAAAAAATGAAGCCGGGAAAGAGAATGGAGAGACATGACCTCCCTCTTAGGGAGATCAGGGAGGGCTTCTTGGAGGAGGTGGCAGTGAAGCAGACACCTATACCAAGGGAGGGATTGTGCAATGGGATGAGAATAAAGGAGTCATCCAGGAAGGCAGGTTTGGAAGAACCTCAGATTTTAAATGTCACAAGCTGTCTTTGGCCAGGGGAGTGCCATGAGAAGACTGGCATTTTTTTTTTTTTAAACAAAACAAAAAAACAAAAAAAAAATTGCAACTTTTTTTTTTTTTTTTGAGACAGAGCCTCAAGCTGTCCCCCTGGGTAGAGTGCCGTGGCATTATAGCTCACAGCAACCTCCAACTCCTGGGCTCAAGCGAGTCTCCTGCCTCCGCCTCCCAAGTAGCTGGGACCACAGGCATCCGCCACAACCCCCGGCTATTTTTTGGTTGCAGCCGTCATTGTTGTTTGGCGGGTCCGGGCTGGGGATTCGAACCCACCACCTTAGGTGTATGTGGCTGGCGCCTTAGCTGGTTGAGCTATAGGCGCTGAGCCTTGAGCTATAGGCGCTGAGCCTTGAGCTATAGACGCTGAGCCCAGATTTGCACTTTTAAAACCTGGTTCTAGTTTCAGGGAACAAGAGTGGAGATGGGTAGGAGGCTGTAGACAGAGGGAGGAAGGGAGAATGGCGGCTCAGACTAAAATCACAGCAGTAGGGTGGCGCCTGTGGTTCAGTAGGTGGGGCGCCGGCCCCATATACTGAAGGTGGAGGGTTTGAACCTGGCCTCGGCCAAACTGCAACAAAAAAATAGCCGGGCGTTGTGGCAGGCACCTACAGTCCCAGCTACTCAAGAGGCTGAGGCAAGAGAATCACCTAGGCCTGGAAATTGGAGCTCATTGCTGTGAGCTATGTGATGCCACGGCACTCTACCAAGAGCCATAAAGTGAGACTCTGTCTCTACAAAAAATAATAATAATAAAATAAATAAAATTAAAAAAAATAAAAAATCACAGCTGGAGAAGTAGAGTGTTTTTTGATGGCAGGGTCAACAGCCTGGCTGATGGATTAGAAATTCCATTCTGATTGAGTATGGGATGGGAGAAAGAACCATTGAGGATAACTGCTAGGTTTTTGGCAAAGCAACTAAAATGTGTCACTTACTGATGTGGGGAGCACTGGGAAAGAAGCAGGCGAAGTGAAACCAGGGCCTCAATTTGGGGCAGGGGACATCTGATGTGGACAGGAGGAAACGGTGGGGCTGAGAGAGACATCCAGGCTGGCAGGGAAATGTGACTGTCTCAGAACCAGGTTACCTAGTGCTCTAACTAGAGAATTGGTGCAGGTGAAGGGGTAGCCCCAGGGCAGAGTGACCCCAGGGCTGGGCCTAAAGAGCTGTCTCAGCCCTCAGGAGGAGAAGGAAGAACTCAGAAAAGGGGCAGAGGAGGAGAAGCTATTGAGAAAGAATGAGAATGAAGAGTACAGAGCCCCAAACGCCAAGTGAAGGAGCTATTCCAAGGAGCCACGACCAGCTGTGTCAACCTGGTAAACGGGGAGGCAGACATGGTAGACGTGGGTGAAGGATGTATGGAGATTCTCTGTTCTATTCTTACAACTTTCTCTACATCTGAAATTATGTCAAAATAAACATTATTTTTTTCTTCTAATGTTCTTGAGAGATCCAGCAAGATGGGGAACAATATGAGGCTTGTTGATACCTAACAAGAGCAACTGCACAGACGTACAGTGGAGGTAAAATGTTCATCATTGATGGGGCCAAGAGAAAATGAGAAGTGGCAAACCCACGACACCACCCATAAACGATGCTCTCAGGCTGGTACTGTCGCACATGTCTGTAATCACAGCACTTTGGGAGGCTGAGGTAGGAGGGTTGCAGGGAGCCAGGAGTTTGAGACCAGCCTGGGCAACATAGCGAGACCCTATCTTTACTAAAAATAAGAAAAATTAGCTGGGCATAGTGACGTGCACCTGCAGTCCCAGCTACTCGGGGGGCTGAGGCAGGAGGATTGCTGAAGTCCAGGAGCTGGAGATTATAGTGAGCTGTGATGACACCATTGCACTCCAAACTAGATCACAGAGTGAGAAACTGTCTCTTTAAAAAACTGCTTTCCTGGAGTGTCACTACAAGCAGGAACACTGAGATGGGAAAGCACAACAAGCATAGGATCAAGTGGAAAGACTTCTGGTACCTGCAGGAAGATAGTGTATTTGTTGCTGATGAGAATGATCCAGCAGGGAGGGGAGAAGTACAGGAGCAAGGATCCTATGCAGGCTGGAGGTGGGGGGATCCGGATATACAAGTGGGGAGCTGGCCATAGACAGGAGGAACCGGTCACTCTCTGCAGGGAGGGCAGGGTACATGGACAGAGATGCAGGGATAGCCTTTAATTTGGCAAAGGAAATAGTATAAGGAAATTCCATTCTCATTGCTTCTATTTTTGCAGTGATATATAAAACAAAGCCTACAGTTGAATGTGAAAGAGACAGTAGCTGTTTAAGATTACAGAGGGAAGAGGAGGTGTGGGAAAGTAAGAGTATGAGTAGGAATGAATGGGACCATCAGGTAGAGCAGAAGGCACACCTGGGCTGTGTGACTGCCTCAGTCAGTCTGGGCTGCAAAACAAAGTGCCACAGACCGGGTGGTTTACAAACAGAAGTTTATTTCTCATAGTTCAGAAGGCTGGAAGCCTGAGATGAGGGTGCCAGTGTGGCTGGGTTCTGGTGAGGATCCTGTTCTGGGCTACAAACTACCCACTTCTCCCTATATCCTCCCTATATCCTCACATGGCTAGAGAGCTCTCTGCAGTCCTTTTCATCAGTGTACTAATTCTATTCCCAAGGGCCCCACCCTCATGACCTAATCACCTTCCAAAGGCCCCATCTCCCAGCATCATCACGTTGGGGATCAGGACTTCAACATACGAATCCTGGGGTAGGGAACTGGGGAGAAGCACTCAGTCCATAAAAGGCCTGACATTAAAAATGAAGCCAGCAAGTGTGGTGTGTTCATGTCCCCAGCCATGCTGAGCTGCATGGGGGCAGAGGTTGGGTTTAACCAAGGTTAGAATTTTCCAGAAAGGGTAAGACAGAATGAAAGGCAAGGTAGTGTGAGGGCTGATAAAATCTGAAATCTAAGATGGAGAGGGAGAGAATAAAAGATGAGGGGACAGAGGGAGTGAAGGAACTATTGGAGAAGGAGGACTGAAAGAATGAAGCTGGAGAGCTGGGGACTGGTGGTCAGAGAGAGGGAGGTTTAAAAAGGTTATTTTAAAGATGATGCAGTGATTGGTCATGACAAGACCCAGGGTATGAACCTGAGGATGGTGGCTGAAGTCAGATACAGGACAAAGTCACAGACAGTGAGGTCAAGGAGCCAAGAGGCCGTCCCCGTGGATATTGACGTTGCTGACAATGAGGTCGGAGCTACAGAGAGAGAAAGGCCTTGCAAAGGTACAGGGAGGGCTCTACAGAACTGCATCTGATTGAAACAAGGACCGAGAGCAGGTACATAGTCTGGAAGCTGGAATGCTTCAAATATAGCCTTTTGGGGTTTTTTTTGCAGTTTGGCTGGGGCTGGATTTGAACCTGCCACCCTCGGTATGTGAGGCTGGGGCCCTACCGGCTGAGCCACAGGTGCCACCCGATACAGCCTCCTTTTAAAGGAGAAAATGATATGGAAATGAGAAAAAGGACAGTTTTGATCCATTATCCAGGCTTTGGAGAAATAAAACAACCACTGCTTGAGAAGGCTGAAGGGACAGCAATGTCCTTCAAGAAACAGGCAAGTGTCACTACTATAAGCTGGTGAAGGAAATGTTGTTTAACCAAGAAAAAGCCCAACTTCTGGACAAATCTGACATGCTCAAAGATCTAGAAAAACTTACTACCATATCCTACTCATGTGTTTTAAAAAGATGTTCAGTAAATTCAGCTTTTAGTCCCACCAATAGTTAAGCCAGAAAAGGCCTGACCATGCAAAGGAAACACCTTTGAAAAGCATTTCGCAAAGGAAATGTGGGTTAGTCTTGGCACTTTCACGTACATTCATGTCTCCTCTTTTTAGCCTCATACACACAGTAAGTCTTCCTCAGATTTATGAATGAACTTGCTTTTCCTTAAAGGTCGATGTGCTTTAAGTCTTTGAGCTTTGAGCTTGTTCTCTGTCCAGTCTTTTCAACTACATTATTCCTTAAGTGGTTAACTTAAAATGCCAGCCAAATTTTGGTCAACTTTTTTCTAGTGCACTTTAGGGCAGAATATCTTAAAATGAAAACATACTGGAGGGAGTTTCAAGCCAGGCGTAAACACGCAATGTATCCAGTTTTAATTGTCTCACTCAAACTCAGTGCCATAGTTTGAATGTGTCCCTTCCTAAATTCTGGTGTTGCTGATATGGTGGCATTTAAGAGATGGTAAGGTCATAAGGCAGTGGTTCTCAACCTTCCTAATGCCGTGGCCCTTTAATACAGTTTCTATGGGTTGTGACGCACAGGTTGAGAACCGCAGTCATAAGGGCTTCTCCCTTGAGACTGGGATTAAGGCCCTTCTAAGACAGGCTTCACTCCATTTTCTGCGCTCTTGCCCTTCTGGCTGCCATCATGTGAGGACGCCACGTTCTTCCCTTCCAAGGGATGCAGCCCTCACCA